ACTGTTTGAATAGCGCTCTAAGGTCAATCATAAAATCTTGCACATTCATGGACTTTTAGAGTATAAGTTCATATATAGTCGTTGAATTTGCTAGAAAATATTTTTGACCTTAGAGCGCTATTTATTTAATCCTAAACATTCAGGACTGTTTGAATAGCGCTCTAAGGTCAATCATAAAATCTTGCACATTCATGGACTTTTAAAGTATAAGTTCATATATAGTCGTTGAATTTGCTAGAAAATATTTTTGACCTTAGAGCGCTATTTATTTAGTCCTAAACATTCAGGACTGTTTGAATAGCGCTCTAAGGTCAATCATAAAATCTTGCACATTCATGGACTTTTAGAGTATAAGATCATATATAGTCGTTGAATTTGCTAGAAAATATTTTTGACCTTAGAGCGCTATTTATTTAATCCTAAACATTCAGGACTGTTTGAATAGCGCTCTAAGGTCAATCATAATATCTTGCACATTCATGGACTATTTAGAGTATAAGTTCATATATAGTCGTTGAATTTGCTAGAAAATATTTTTGACCTTAGAGCGCTATTTATTTAATCCTAAACATTCAGGACTGTTTGAATAGCGCTCTAAGGTCAATCATAAAATCTTGCACATTCATGGACTTTTAGAGTATAAGTTCATATATAGTCGTTGAATTTGCTAGAAAATATTTTTGACCTTAGAGCGCTATTTATTTAATCCTAAACATTCAGGACTGTTTGAATAGCGCTCTAAGGTCAATCATAAAATCTTGCACATTCATGGACTTTTAAAGTATAAGTTCATATATAGTCGTTGAATTTGCTAGAAAATATTTTTGACCTTAGAGCGCTATTTAATTAGTCCTAAACATTCAGGACTGTTTGAATAGCGCTCTAAGGTCAATCATAAAATCTTGCACATTCATGGACTTTTAGAGTATAAGTTCATATATAGTCGTTGAATTTGCTAGAAATTATTTTTGACCTTAGAGCGCTATTTATTTAATCCTAAACATTCAGGACTGTTTGAATAGCGCTCTAAGGTCAATCATAAAATCTTGCACATTCATGGACTTTTAGAGTATAAGTTCATATATAGTCGTTGAATTTGCTAGAAAATATTTTTGACCTTAGAGCGCTATTTATTTAATCCTAAACATTCAGGACTGTTTGAATAGCGCTCTAAGGTCAATCATAAAATCTTGCACATTCATGGACTTTTAGAGTATAAGTTCATATATAGTCGTTGAATTTGCTAGAAAATATTTTTGACCTTAGAGCGCTATTTATTTAATCCTAAACATTCAGGACTGTTTGAATAGCGCTCTAAGGTCAATCATAAAATCTTGCACATTCATGGACTTTTAAAGTATAAGTTCATATATAGTCGTTGAATTTGCTAGAAAATATTTTTGACCTTAGAGCGCTATTTATTTAATCCTAAACATTCAGGACTGTTTGAATAGCGCTCTAAGGTCAATCATAAAATCTTGCACATTCATGGACTTTTAGAGTATAAGTTCATATATAGTCGTTGAATTTGCTAGAAAATATTTTTGACCTTAGAGCGCTATTTATTTAATCCTAAACATTCAGGACTGTTTGAATAGCGCTCTAAGGTCAATCATAAAATCTTGCACATTCATGGACTTTTAAAGTATAAGTTCATATATAGTCGTTGAATTTGCTAGAAATTATTTTTGACCTTAGAGCGCTATTTATTTAGTCCTAAACATTCAGGACTGTTTGAATAGCGCTCTAAGGTCAATCATAAAATCTTGCACATTCATGGACTTTTAGAGTATAAGTTCATATATAGTCGTTGAATTTGCTAGAAAATATTTTTGACCTTGGAGCGCTATTTATTTAATTCTAAACATTCAGGACTGTTTGAATAGCGCTCTAAGGTCAATATAAATATCTTGCAAATTCAGGGACTATTAGAAGTACTAATTCAGCCTGTCATTTACTATTTAGAGTACTGTTTCATATATAGTCGTTTTCGTAATTTGCTGTAGCACGCACAAATGTTCTTCCTCAAATTGAGGACTAATTGTAAGAAGATTCATTGCTATTGAGTGGCCAATTTGATGCCTCCAGGGATATTTGAACTCTTTCCAACAATTTGAATCAATCGAATCGGGACCGTGTGATTATTGAAACAAGGGAACTCGGCATATAAAACGTAATTATTGTGGCAGTAAAAGAAGATCGCGATGTTGCGCGCAATTATAATTAGACATTAATTTGGTCTGCGCTCGCTGCTGCTTTGTTATTTACCTAACGGAGTCCGCGAATATAATAACAGAAGCATTGTGTGTGTCTCACTGTATTCCTTATTTCTTGGAGAGCCCAGATGTAATTATCAGATAGAGCGAGAATAATAAAATGCAGAGTAGAAGAAAGAAAGACGCGGATACACTTCTTCTTCTTCAGATTGCAAATTAGTACATTTTTATTAAATTTTATTTCCTCGTGTGTGTGTTTTGCGTGCGAGTGACCGAGACGGTCATCATTCACGGAGTAATTAGACTGAAATAAAATTGCGCTCGCCACCGTTTTTATTTTCTGCAGCGTTGCACTTGTAGCGGACTGAGCATTGTTTCTGTGCAATTATTATTCGCGAGTACTCGTCGTCGTGAGCGAATTCCCAGAAGAGCAGTGCGATTAATCTGCTGAATAATAAGGCCAAATTTGCGAATGAAACTTTTAAATGAGCAGCCAGGATGTGAAATTTTTTCGTATGTATCCATATTTATCGAAAAAAAAAAAACACGTGAAGTAGAAATCGCAGACAAAATAAGCAGGTGAAAATCACTTTTACTCTCATGAATGTGAATAGGGGCCCATACTGGCGACTGATTAAAATTATATATATTGAAGTCTCTCTCTTTTATCATTTGGAAAGTCGCAAAAAAAAAAACTAATGTGACATCTTGTTAATCATGCGATTTTACTTGATTTTTATAACGGAACAGCAATAAGAGTGACTGAAAATTAATTTCTCCACTTGGACAAACTACAAACACAATGTTTATTATTTATTTTATATGAAAAAAGTCAATATGTAAGGAAAAATGTGGAAGGATAAATTTTTATTTTTGAAAGAATAAGGGAAGTAAAAATAAAGGTCTTTTACTATAAATTTACTAAAATTTGTAAAAATTTCTTTATTTGTTTTATTGTTGTTAATTTTCCTAAATTGTTTCATTACATAGTTTATATTCAATTGTTGCATGAAAACAGTTTATTTTAATTTTGTTATAATTTCCTTTAGCATCGACTATAACAACCTCACTGGGGAAATTTTGAGTCTTTTTTAAATACCTGGAATATTTTTAGTTTCTAATAAACAATTTTTAAATAACTGACATAAAAGCAAACATAATTTGCGTATGGCGTATTATGCGTGCCACCAAGGACGGGCCAAACGCCTCATTTTTTAATCCAAAAATTAATTTTAAGAGCTTGACTGGTTGTTATTTATTGTTACTTGTAATATCGCCTTGCACTTCCCGCACCCAGTATTTTTATATCCAATCCTTTGGGAAGCACAATTAAAAAGCACGATTCTTTATCACGTTTTCTGCTACCACGTCCTTTTTTTCACCTCGCTAATTAATCATTTTATTTATTCAACCTCGGATCCCACATTTATTTATTCATTTTTGGTTTACTCCAGCATGATCAAGAATGCGGCACCACATCAATCATTATTTTTTTTGTTTTAATTTTCACAGTCATGCACATGATGAGAAAACACACCCAACAGTGCCAACGCCCGGTGACAGAAAAAGCCTCTCGCAAGTTGCGCAAACCGATAGAGCGAGAATATCAATTTTCCACGGCAGTTCGGCCCGTTAAGATAAGTGCAACTCACTCGGAATAGCCGGCAAACTTGAACTTGACCCAAGTCCAAACACCATAACTTTCCAGTTACATCCTGCATTTGATCTGTACTGTCAGGTGCTAAATTTGTACTTTCTGCAGTGCTTACAGACGTCATGCCAGAATTAGATGAAATTACGAAGATTGTTTATGTCTCGATTAGAGGCATCAAAACTGACGCAGGAAGTTTATTTCTGGCACAAACATTTGACAATGATATTTTAGGATTAAAAAAAAATTATTTAAATTTTGCATACATGACAATTTATTGATTTTACATCATTTTTGGCAAATGAACCTGCCCGTTGCAATGAGACATTACATCATTGCGACGCCTCATAAGTCAATAATTAATTACTATTAAAATTAAATGTAACTTGTAATACTATAGTTTTAAGCTTGTTATTATAATGCTGGTGATAAAATGAAGTTATAAATTAAAATAGCAATGTTAATCTTAAATTTTATTAACACATTTAAAAAAAATATTTAATCAGAGATTTACTTTTTATTTTATTTTTTTATTTGTTGACAAAAATTTTAACATGATTTTTTGTACTCTTACTTTTGTAATTTAATTTCTTATGCAGTTTAAAGTAACAATGTATTCTGGTTGTTAACATTACTTAATTATTTTAATTTTTTGTAATATATATTATTGTATGTGACTATTTGAGTGAAATATTCAGATTGGAATTTGAAATAATATTTAATCGCGGAATCTCCAGTGTCCTGTCATTGTCAAATATTTACTGTATTTTATTTTTTTATTAATTTAATTTAACGTGCTAAAAAAATGTGTAATATTTGCAATTTTCCAAGCCTAGTTTTTATGCGGTGGCCTCTCTATTATTGAAATCTTTCGTTCCGCGCGGCGAGAATCGCGCCATCATATCAGTCAGTAGTGCCGGGAAGGAAGTGAATATGGAGAAAAAGCGAATTAAATAATAAGGAGAATGAGAAAAAAAATCAGCAAGGAGAGTCGGCAGAGCAGCGAGCGAGACCGCGCGGCAAGTGGAGGTGGCGCGAGATCGACCGCCGGAGGCATTGACTTCTGCGGGCGGGCGGAGGAGGATTTTCTCGTCAGGTCGCTCTTGTTCTCAGTCTTCACTCGTCCTTCCTCGTGGTGCCCACGCGGTGCTCAGATGCTGCTGCCGTTGTTGCTCCTGCTGGCGGGGCCCGTCCTCGGGGCTGCCGCCGCCACCACCACCACCACCCCCGATCCTAAGACTGGCAAACAGATGAGGGACCAGCAAGTGCCACTCGTCTCGCCCAGCTACTCGCTCATCCACATGGACATGAGCACCGGCAAGGATATCGGTGAGTTCACTTCCTTCAAACAAAACAGCAGTCAACACTTAAACAGGTCGTTTCTGTCATCAAAATTAGGGTAAAAAGAAGAAAAATATCAAATGCAAGAATATAAAAGAAAAGAATGAAAACAAATTTAAAACTAAAAAAAGTCTCAAAATGATCTTTAATAGTAAAAGTCAACAAATTCGGAAGATTGATAAATTGTTACAAAATTCTCAAAGTCCTGAATTTTTTATATTTTAAATTCAAAATAGTTTCCTGTCTTATTTGAATATATATTTCAATCAGGGGATGTAAAATATTCAGCTTGTCATAATGAATTTTAAAGGAGATTGATTTACTATAACATTGCTGTTTATTATAATTTAAAATTAACAGGTACTTCAAACTAACTTTATTTATTTTCAATACAATTGCTTCCCTGTTATAAGTTATCTTATCTAGAATGGTTAAAAGAAGATGAAACCTCCTACAAAATGTTTTTCAAATCCTTCAATTTTAATGGGATCTAATAAAACAAACTCAATTTGTTTCAAATATGTAGAAAATAAACATCATTTTTTAATTTTTAACTCATCCGAACGGAAAATTTTCAGTCATTCAAACCCTATTTATATCTCAATAATAATTTCTAAACGACTTGTTTGAAAATTTTGAAAATTTGTATTCGGATGCAAAATGACGAGGCGCATCTAATGGCAATCTCCGATTTTTTTGTCAGGTTGCCTATTTTCAAGGGGCAGAAATATACCAATTCAATGGAATGCTTTTTGTGTGGTTGATTTATTTTATTAGCTAAATTTGTCATTCCCATTATAATAATTAAAACAATTGTTAATTAAAACGTTACAACTTCAATTTAAAAATATAAGCAATTATTAAAATATTAAATAATTTTCTATTTTTATTTATTATATTAATTTTTTTTATATAAACCAAAAATAAAAAGTATATCATTACATATATGATTTTATTTTTAAAAAAATGTAACAATATTTTCGCATTAAATATTTTGTGCAGAGGAGCCCACTTAATAAGTCATATTTTTAATCAAAAATTATTGAATGCGCATTTCAATTGTTTAGTAAATTTATTGTGCACTGATACTCGCAGCTCTCGTTCATTTTATTTTATTTAAATCAATTAAAGAATAATAATCATGTAATAAGTAATAACCAATAAAAAATCTACTTTAATATAAAATCTTGAGCTCCACAACTTATACTTATGTAATTCATAACTTTCATGAATGATCTTTAAAGCACTTTAAAGGCGGCAAAGCGTAAAAATTGAATTTTTCTCGCGATTCGCGCGGTCTCTGCTATTGCAGATAGAGCACAGATCCCGTTTCGCATCACAACTCGCTTCTTTCTCCTTTGTTTCGCGTTGCAACGGTTAATTAATTACAATCGTAGATCCTGCGCTGCTCTGGGTCGGTCTAAACACAGCCGCCCGCTGATTTCCGAGATTTTGTGCGAAAATCGGCACACACCGTTTTCGCATAAAAATAAATTCAAGTAAAAAGCACGAATTGCTCGGAGAATATAATTGCAGGCTTGGCGTTCCAATTTCATCAAAACTGGGCGTTTAACCGGCTGGCTGCGCTTTTGCGTTGCACAAAATCTGCGCGCCGCGGCTTCTCGTGTTGATAAAAAGAAAAAAAAATGAGGCGCACACGCATCTCATTACACGAAAGCGCAGGGAGCGTTCCTCTCTCGGTTTTGAAGGCCAACAGCACAAACAAAAACTACAATCGTCACATGACTTACGAAGAAATGCATTTTGTGTAGTATTTTAATTAAATAATTGCTCATAATGTTGCAATCATTTTTGCTAATAGTTTTATATTTAATTGTTAGTCAGTAAATTCTTTCTTACAAGAAATTACACAATAATAATTGGTTTTGTGATGGATTAAAAGAAATAGAAGATGACTTCATTATTGGTTTTTTTACATAATAAATATTTTTGGTAAATTATTACTCTAATTTATTATTTCCATTTCATAAGTAAGTCTGAATTTTTATGTTTTAACTTTACTCAGAAAGTAGTGTAAATTTAATGCAATTTTTTTATTCTTCTTTCTATACATTTTTCTATAATTTTTACGTAAACATTTAAATTTTTATTTTTTTATTTTTAAATTTAAATTACAAATATATCTACTGGACAGGACTTTTTAGTTTACGTTTAAATCAGTTTAAATTAGTACTGTTATGTTAATTTATTTGTTTTATTGATAACCTTTGACCTGCAGTACCAAGAGAATAAATAAATTGAATTGAATTAAGGAATAATTAGAATAATTCATTGAATATTTCAAAAAACTTTTTAATAAAATCTATTTTTTGTAGTTCATAGCCAAGTGCGGGTTAAAGACTGGTCGTTTTTTATATAAAATTTTTTAATTCACTTTTTTGTTCAATTATTTACATAATTATTCATCTGCATCTTCTTATCAAAAATTTTTGTATCAATGAAAATTTTAAAAGAAAAATTTTTTCCAATATTTTGTACTAACATAGCAGACAATTTTTTTAAAACAGTCAAAAACAAATAAATTAAATTCTGCCGCATTTTATCTCTGACGCGCATCCAGCAGTGTGTTGCGTTAGATTTTTTTAGATTTCAGGGCACATGTGCGTAAATCTGCGGCGGCGCGCGGAGATAAAGTCGAAGAATGGGAATAATTCTCGCGAGCTGAAGCCCAAGCCACTCATAGTACTGAGGGCAATTAAGTCGCGGCGCAATGGCCTTCCCACGCCGACAACAATAGTAGCAGCGAGATAATGAGTTTCCAGCACTTTGGAGCAATCCACGCGTGGCGCAAACTTTGATGTGCGTGAGCGCGCGCGCGCCGCCGATCAAAAGCAGGAAATTCGCGAATTTGCAAAGACACGAGCAAAAAATTAGGATGGGGCGTGAATTGATGAAAATTGATTTGCAAACGGTTCGATGAACTGAACGAAGGGGCTGTGAAGAGATCAAAGCAGGTTTATAAGTGATTTCAAACATTCAGAAATCTGGAAACAATTAATCTTTCTGTGCCTTAAGGATGTGGGAAAATGTTGAGATAATGTGAGGAAAATGTGATGAAATGATGAAACTTTCGTAATCGTATCGAAGCTTCTTGGAACGATGAGGGAAAAATGTCAATGTCAGAGTGAATATAAAACTAGTGTCACATTTCGCTATCTTTTTTTTCAATGCGACCTTTGGACGTTTTTTTATTGAGATGTGTGTACAGAAATGATTTACAAGAAAAAAAAACATAAAAAAAATGAAGATTTATTTGTTTTGCGTCTATTATTAAATTGACAATTTTCTCGTAGGAATGATTTCAACTATTTTTTTATTGCTTTTTTATAATTTTTTGCAGGTTAAAATAAATTTAATTTTAAAACGCAAATATTATATAGTTTTTTTAAAGTATATTTTGAGATTAAATAATTAACTTAATTTAATTTTTTTTTAATTTTTATTGATATTTAAAATGCAAGTGTTTTCTGTGTTTTTGGGGAAGTTCCTTTTATACATTAAAAAATTTTAAATTTTAATTTGAAATATGCAGTGGTGTCGGCGTAAAAGTAATTCATATCATTAAAACTGAAAAAATTTACATGGGAAGGCTGTAGCTGTGGCTGTACGGAGTTATTTCTTTTATAAATCATTAGACACACTTAAGATGAACAGAAAATTGACACTGACAGTGAATAATTTATTGAATAAAAGAATGTAATAATTTTAATTATTTAAGTTGCAAGGGAATTCATCATTCACTTATTGAATGTTTTTTTGTGTGTTAATTTCAACATTCCCTATTAAAAATTTATTTTAAACCAATTATGTATTTGTTGTAAAAATCGATAACACCCGCAAGTCCTGCAAATCGCCTTATTTTTTAATATTTTGTAAAATAAGGTACTTATATTTTTTTTTAAATGTGTACCAGAAAACTTTTGGCCCTAAAAAAAGGAGGGAACAATAGAACTGCCCAAGTATAAAATTACAAACGAGAAGTGAAATATTTACAAACAGGAAATACGACTGATAAGAAAACAAACAAAATTCCTGACGAAATGCCGCGACCATATTATTATCAAAATCGGCTCCACCAAACCCTGCAATTTACATCATCGCCAGCCTTCGAAATTTTGCAAAGTTCCTCGACCTTGACGCATATATTAATTGCATCTAAGAGTGGATAAAACTGCAGAGCACAGTCACAGAATTAAATTCACAAGCTACTTTTCTCAAAAAAATTATGTAGTTTATGGCCACGTGGGAGTTTTATTGCATCAGTAAGATAGAAGAAGTCTCACAAGACTGCGACAAATAATTGCTGCACGCGAAAGAAAAAATTAAAAAACTGCAGAGCCAGCCGGCCTTTTAGCTTTCAAACAAACTTTGTTTGAGAAGGAAAATTTACAAAATATCAGTCTGGGATTCCACGAAAGTCGGCTCATCAGAAGTCTACACTGCAAAAATAAGTGAGAAAAAAAACCTTCCAAAAGTTCAACACGCAAATTCTGATGTCACGTTTTTCTACAATTTAATAGATTTTTTACCAGAATGAGGTAAAATTAAGTTATTTTGATGAAATTTTTATTTATTTTAACCAGGCCGATTTAAGAAAATATTAAAAAAAATATATATTGTTAATTTTTGGAAATTTAGTATCTGAGAAGAAAATGATCTTTGGCAATCTTCACAAATTCACTTGGACTGATTTTAGCTGCATAAATAAACGGAAAAAAGGCGACGCTCGGTGTTCGGCTGCAGTGCAGGTTGCCTGGTTCACTGGGTGGCCATGCATAAAAGAGAGCTCTGACCTTCAGCGTTGGTTCTTTCCTTCCCCACAGCATGATGATGAGTACCGAGAACTTTTTGTGCTAGAGCACCGCAGCACAGATTGCTTCTGCAGATAATTATTTGAGCTTTCGGCTGGCTGCGCGGGGTGACGTTCCAGCCCAAGGTCGCACTTGCTTACAAGTTTTTACTTTTTTTTCGCGCCAAGGAAAGAAAACGATTAATTAATTACGTCAGGAAATAGGAAATGGGGAGAGAGAGAAAGAGCAGGAAGATTATATATTTTCTTTTGAATAATTAATTTCGCATTTGCAAAACACTCGTCGTGGCAATCAAGGTTCGGCATTGTTTGTAATTCTAAGGGGAATAATGCATCGCGTTCATTTGCATCAGCTTCGTTTTGCGTGCAGTGGCGGTGTAATTAAATTTCCTTCCCGTCGTTAAACTTGAACTTGGCCAAGAGGAGATGATTCAAATTTTGCATGTGTTTTTAAGAATATGTACATCATGAAGTACATGAAAGAATAGGAAATGCCGGAAATTACAATAATTGCTGGCAAGTCCAGGACGTGTTCAGGACGTACTTTCCACACTACATTATTTGAAATTCTGAATGACTCCGCAAGTTGTAATTTATATAAGCATTTTATTTTTATTCAGGAGAATATTTAAAGTCTAATTTAAAAGTTAAACAAGTAAATACGTATTTATTTTAATTTTCATCAAAATAAAAAAAAAATTATAAGTAATTTTTATATTATCTTTTTCATATATTTTATTTATTTTATTGTTGCTATTTTTATTAAAAGTCACAATTTTTTTTGTTAAGTATGTAAAATAAAAAAGTGCAGATTAGAATTAGTAGTATAATTTTTAATAATATTATCGAATATTTTATTTAATTTAGTCACAAAATAAATAGATTAATGCACTTAATTTTTTTATTTACTACTTATAAAAATTACTCTAAAATATTTTGTTTTAAAATGAATTATTTTTTATTAAAAAATATTACCGGTATTTAACTAGGAACAATTTTTTTTCCATTATTTAAATTTTACTTCCAAGAAGAAAATATAAACTGTTGATAAGAGAGCGGATTGTGAAGATAATGCATAATTTGCAATTATGTTGAACTTAAGTTTATTTGATCTGTGCCTTTAATAAATCTATGAATAGTGACTGTTGATGAAATTATCATATTATTGTAATTTTCTTCGCAATTAATTCGAATATACTTTTCAGGGGGATGTTTTGAACGAATCGCGATTGGCAGACGCCTGGCCGTGGTTTCCATCTCGGTGCCACTAACCATGTTGACTTCATGCGAGAAGAAGTGCTTCGAGAACTCCGACTGTCGAGCTTTCAGTTTCGGGTAAGATACGCATCTAAACAAGGATAAAACGACAATAATTTTGAGGCGAAGACCAATTAAGTTTCTTGTCCTTGCTCCCGAAGAGCGTTTTAATTGGACGAGGTTAACTCCAATTAGGCAATCTAGATTATGCATTAATATATATAATGTCCTTTTATTTTTATAAAAATAATGAAAAATTGGGCAGAAACATGCACGCAATCGGCCATGCTCAATTTTTGCAAAGTGTCACTTTCCTGCCGCCGCGGCAACAAAGCGTGAAAATGTTAATAAACCCTGGCGTGAGTGTTTGCGCTAAATTTGGCACGGCTTGGAGATAATTTGAACGCGAGATTCGTCGGCGAGTTATCTTGTGATTTATTAATTGGAGGAGCTGAGAGCGCGTGCCTCGCTCATTTCCGCGGTGAAACGAATACTTTGTTGCAACAAAACGGCAAACAGATTCCAACTGCTGAAAGATTCATACGGGAATGCTTGGCAGCGACTTCGTATCCGCGGTCAGATGTGTCCCAAGCAAAGTCGTTTCAGGCCATAAAATTTGTTAGCGGATGTGTACAAATTCGAAAATCTCTGGTTAAAATCCTCAAAATTGTTGAATTTTCTGTTCAGGTTTCATATTCTAGAGAGAGAGAAAAATGCATAAAACAAAACTTTGGAATATTATTTCATTGAAATGCTCTCAAAAGGATGCACTTATGGGATTTAATTCTAACAGTTACGTTCTTGAAATTTTTAAATCATAGGTTGCAATGTTAATTAAGTATAATAATTTAAATAATAAAAGTGCTATGTAGATGATTCAAATAAATTACAGTTTATTATTACTTGTTCTACGCTTTTTTTATTAGTTATAAAAAATATTTCATTATATCGCTATTTGGCATAGTTTATGGTGTAATATGTTTACATATCATATAACAATTAATTATGTTAAGTTAAATTAAAAAAAAAATTATTGCTAGTAAACTTCAATAATTATTCTATTTTAATTGATGTTTGTATTTGTTAATTAATTATGAATGATTATACAAATTATTAATACAATAAATATTTTTTTATTATTAAAAAAATCCGTATTATTAGATGTTAAGTAGATTTTTTTTTAATGTTTCTTTTTTTATATTTCTATTTATAAATAGCTGCTATTTGACAATCGTTCAAAAATACATTTAAAACTTCTAGAATTTGATAATTGATCGAGACTGATTTAAAAGGCCACAACAATATATTCTTGGTTCTGCTCTTTATTTATTTTTTTCCCTTAAAAAAGACTTACTTGCGACACTACCTGGGATTTATTTTAAATTTTAGGTCTAAAACAGCCTAAAATAAAAAGATATAACTGGAAACACGAAATAGAACATTGATACTAATTATATTGGTTTCAATTTTCAAAATGCAGAATTTTAATCTCAAATTTTTCTTTAAGTTTCTGTGCAGTTTCATTTTAACTTATATACTATTTTTTTTGCCAATCTTTATTGTAAAATTACTATTTTGTTTTAATAAAAATTATATAACGTAATAAAAAATTCCAGGATGGGTCGTCACGGCAACGGAACGTGCGAAATGCAAGTGGGTTCGGCGGCCGAACGGGCCCAGCGACGTCGTGGCCGTCGGCCGCGCAAGTTGGAGCCAACCCAGCAACCCGAAGACCCGGACTACGACCTCTTCGAACGTCGTCCCGAGTGCGAAATGCCGAACGGTTCGCAGCAACCGCCCGGCGAAGAGGACAAGCAGGACCTGCCTCCCTTCCTGGGCAACGTCGATAACCCGAGCCAAGGCCACGGCGACAACCACCAGCGACCTCCTCAGCAAGGATCCTCCTCGGGTGAGTCAAAAAAATAATTTTTTATCCAGAATTTGGAATTTTGTGCGTAGTTGAAGCGTTTAGAGCGAATTGCAGTTCGGAGGATGTGAGGATAATTGTCGAGTGCGCTGCCCGAAAATTATTATATTACAATGGGGCTTTTTTTATAACCCACCGAGACGCGCGATGATTCATAGGCTAATGATATACGCGTCTTTGCGGTTAAGGAACTTTGCTTCCGCAAAACAATTTCGGAAGTTTTTTCGCTGTAAGTGGATTTTAGGACGCATTTCGAATTCGATGAAATAAAAAATCGCAGCGATGATGAAACACACATTTTTATGACCGCAACATAATTGAAAATTTTTCTAATTTTATATCACTAAATATTGAAACAAGCGCTAAAGCGCTTGCGTTAAACGCAAGCATTTTCGGAATGTTGTTGTGGGACTCCATTTTTAATTTTACTTTTTAATTTTAAATTTTAATTAAATCGGAGAAAAAGAAAGAAAATAAGGTTTAAAACGAGAAAAACGAGAAAAAAAGGTAAAAATCAGCGTAAAGAATCAATTTGGAACACTCTATAGGCAATAAGTTGAAGGGTGGAAGGTCAGGGAACGCGCGGGAAACCCGCGCGAGTCGAATTGGCCAGAAAGTTGCGAAATCGGCCAGAGTTTACGCCAACGAACCCTCCGTAGGAGTTAACGAAGCGTCGGCTTGGTGCAAAAAGCGCGGGAAACTAGGGGGGGGGGGTAGTCGTCTCCAAAGTAATCAAAACCCCCTCAAAGTTGGCATTGGAACACCCTACACAGGCGCCACAACCCGCGGGAACCTGCAAACCGCGCGGGAAACCCTCGGGAGAAAGTTATCTTGAATGAAATAAAAAACCAACAGAGTCATCATTGGAACACCCTGTAGTGGGCATTCAACCCGGGGCCTTGGGGAACCCGCGTGGACCCCTTGGTTTGTAAAAGCCTTGAAAACTTTCAAAAGATTTCAAAGTTTGCTTTGGAACACCCTAGACCGGGGAATTACCCCTCCTTGACTTGGTTACCCATCGAAAGATCCTTGGTTTCAACGTACTCGCGTGCCCCTTAAAAAATTTCCAATGTTCATTTTGGAACACCCTGTACTGGATAATTACCCCTTATTTAATTGCACACCCTTGTGGAACCCTTAAAAGCATGTCTCCTTCAAAGGAATGAAAAGTCCTCAAAGTCAGCATTGGAACACCCTAGCGACGTCAGCCCTTCCGCGTGAACTTGCGAAACGCGCATGGAACCCTCGTGGTTGTATATCGCTTTTAAGCTTTTAAATTTTGTTAAAGTTCGCTTTGGAACACCCTATAGTGGATAACTAACCCTTATTTTCTTGCAGATGCCGCGTGAAACCGTAGGGCACAATTTATTTGAAACCTCTTAAAAAGATTTTGAGGCCCATTTTGGAACACCCTTTACCTAATAATTACCCGTGATTTACATGCGAACCCCTCGTGAAATCGTCGCTTGTAATTTACTGAAACGCCCCTGAGAAATTTTCATAGTTTGTTTTGGAACACCCTATACTGGGCAACCTTCCCTCATGAACCTTGAAACCCCTCGCAAGCCCCACGATGTTAATGTACTTGAAAGTCTTACAAAATTTTATTGGTTTTGTTTTGGAGCTCCCTATACTGGGCAATTGGCCCCTTAGCACTTGCAAAACCGATATGAAACCCTTGGTCATAAATATTTTTTTGCCCATAAAAAATTAGCATGTTAACTTTGGAACACCCTAGAATGGGCCATGATCCTTAATTTACGTAAGAAATGCCCATTAATTGTACAGCGTAATTAATTGGAAAGTTTGAAAAAAATTTAATAGTTAGCTTTGGAGCACCCTGTAGCAGCATCGTAGCGCGTGTGATTTTAACCCGCGGGAAACACATTGGAACGCGCGCGTCTTTGCCGCGACCACGGGAAAGACGGCCGTGCCATTTGAATTGAATTAGTAAAAAAAGTTTAAAATTAAATTTGGATCACCCCATGGTGGTCAGAGATGGCGCGTGCAATTGTATGACACGGGGGAATAAATTGTGCGCATATTTTTTTCAATGTAAATGCAAATCAGTAGAAATGTGCTTTGAAAAATCTGAAACAAAAAATTAACACGGGCGCGTTGGTGAAAGCAGCGGAAAGTTCCACCGTGTCAATTTATTTTAAAAATTCTGCTGACTCTAACTCTTTATGTATTTTCCAACCGCAATTGACCTTATTCGGCCGCGGGTTATGAATTTCGGCTCGGGGGCCACTGGGGGGCCGCCTTGGGCCAGCGGCGATCAGTGCGTCTCATCGCGAGCGAAAACGCGTGTTAAATCCCTTGAGCCGAATTTTTTGCTGAAAAATCGGCAACTCGGCCTCGGCGGGCCCGGGCGACCCCTTGAAAAATCCGCCCAAAAATTAGCTTCATTATGTTTTTTAAAAATCGAAAATCCGTCCAGTAGAACGCGCGCGGCGGCCTCGCGCGTTTGCTATTTTGCCCCATAAGAATAACACAGGCCGCGAGTTATCAAATCGTCGGACGAAACTCGGACGCGCCGCATTTTAATGTTAAACCTCGGAACCCCGCGATTCATGCATTTTGCATCCGCCGCGGGCGGAATTAGGCCGCCAGGGCCTAATTTCACCTCGTGGGGTCAGTGGGGGCCGTCGGGGGCCCGCGGCGGCCGTTCCGACCCTTGCCGAGCGCAAACACATGTAAAATCCCATAAGCCGAGAATTCGCATAAAAATTGTGAAGAAACACCCATTTATGCATTTCACCACCGCCGTGGGCCAAATTCGGCCGCGGGTGACGAATTTCGGCCCCGGGGACCGCGGGTGGGCCCGCCTCGAGCGACCCGATTCGAGCCGAGCGAAAACCCATGTTAAATTCCATAAGAAAAAATTTTAGCGGAAATTCGACCCCGTGAAAAATCTGCCCAAAAATTAGGTTCATTTTGCTTTTTAAAAAACGAAAATCCGTCCAGTAGAACGGCCGCGGCGGCATCGCGCGTTTGCTTTTTTCCCCCATAAGAATAACACAGGGCGCGAGTTGACGAAGCGACGGACGAAACTCGGAGGCGCCGCGTGTTAATAAAATCCCCCGGAACCCCGCGATCTATGCTTATTTCATCAGCGGCCGGCCGAATTCGGCCGCGGGTGACGAATTTCGGCCGTTGGACCGCAGGTGGGCCGCCGTGGGCCCGCCTGGAGCGACCCGATTCGCGTCGAGCGAAAACCCATGTTAAATCCCATAAGAAATGATTTTTGCCGAAAAATCGGCAATTCGGCCGCGGCGGGTGTGGGCGACCCCTGGAAAAATCGGCCCAAAAATTAGCTTAATTTTGGTGTGCGAAAAACGAAAATCCGACCACGGGAACGGCCGCGGCGGCCGCCGGCGTCTGCTCGCCCGTTCTCCCATAAGAAAAGCATTGGAAGGTCGTTTTGCATAAATCGCAAAAGCCTAAGGCTTTTTTGCTATGGGAATGCGACCCATGGTCCTATGGTGATTCGGACGCGTCTCGCAAAGGCGCACAACTCTCTGGATGTACTTTTTTCGATTTTTGACTTTTTGCAATGTAATTTCTAAAAAAAAACCGGTTTTTTCACCCTTTGGAGGGCCGCCATACCGCCAAAAAAAATCGGAAAAATCGAGTCTACCCGGGAAATTGTAGCGCACAGACGGGCTAAAACGCCCTGGGATCCGCTGTTTCTATGGATTTTTTTATGTCAGCCGTTTTCGCACTTGAATGCGAAAAAAATGCGTTTTTTTGCGAATTTTCAGAATTACCCTGAATTTGAGGTGGGAAGGAGTGCCGTGAGCGAAAAACGGACAATGACGTCTAATTAGCAAATTTAATCGCGCGTCGAACGGTGCCCACGCCAACCTTCTCGCTCGGGTAGGTACCGAGCAGTAAAGCGCGAAAGCCGAAAAGACGTATTTGGGCCGCGCGGGCCCGGCGGGGCCCAATCCGGAAATCGGGCCGATACGGGTCGTTGAAATGGGGTGCCCTACCGGGTGATACGGCGCTGCGCGGCAAAACAGTCGAGAAAGAAAAGTGCGACTTGGTATTATAGGGTTAGAACAAGCGCTTCGCACTTGCGTTAAACGCAAGCATTTTCGGACTGCTTTTGTGGGACTGTATAAAGTTAATTTCTTTTTAATCTAAATTTAATTGGAGAGAATGTGAAAAATAATGTTTAAAAAAGAGAAAAACGAGAAAAAAAGGTAAGAAGTAGCGTAAAGAATCAATTTGGAACACTCTGTAGGCTATAAGTTGAAGGGTGGAAGGTCAGGGAACGCGCGGGAAACCCACGCGAGTCGAATTGGCCAGAAAGTTGCGAAATCGGCCAGAGTTTACGCCAACGAACCCTCCGTAGGAGTTAACGAAGTGTCGGCTTGGTGTAAAAAGCGCGGGAAACTGTGGGGGTTAGTCGTCTCCAAAGTAATCAAAACCCCCTCAAAGTTGGCATTGGAACACCCTACACAGGCGCCACAACCCGCGGGAACCTGCAAACCGCGCGGGAAACCCTCGGGAGAAAGTTATCTTGAATGAAATAAAAAACCAACAGAGTCATCATTGGAACACCCTGTAGTGGGCATTCAACCCGGGGCCTTGGGGAACCCGCGTGGACCCCTTGGTTTGTAAAAGCCTTGAAAACTTTCAAAAGATTTCAAAGTTTGCTTTGGAACACCCTAGACCGGGGAATTACCCCTCCTTGACTTGGTTACCCATCGTAAGATCCATGGTTTCAACGTACACGCGAGCCCTGTATAAATTTTCCAAAGTTCATTTTGGAACACTCTGTACTGGATAATTACCCCTTATTTACTTGCACACCCTCGTGGAACCCTTAGGAAAATGTCTCCTTCAAAGTAATGAAATATCCTAAAAGTAAGCATTAGAACACCCTAGCGTGGTCAGTCCTTCCGCGTGAACTTGCGAAACGCGCGTGGAACCCTCGTGGTTGTATATCGCTTTTAAGCTTTTAAATTTTGTTA